GAGGCTAATATTGACGAAAAAATAGGCTTTACGAAAAATACACGAAGGAAGAAGAAAAAGAACGGATTAATCAAACACTGTAAAAGCCACAGTTGTAATGTATGATTGTGAGACATGGGTTCTGTCTAACACATATGAAAATAGGCTATTAATATTCGGGAGGTAAGTCCTGAGGAAAAAACTCAAAAGGAAAATAGAACTTATCATCATCAACTTTGAACAATACAATAAGTATAAAGAATAAGTCGAAATCAGAGACATAGTTACTGTAATAAAAAGTAGTTGCCTACGTTGGGCAAGACATCTAATTAGAGCAAATGAAAGCTATCCCGCACGACATATTTTATTGGCCAAATCAAAAGGAACTACACGAAGAAGATGGTGTAGATGAGGATTCCAGAAAGATCGGTCTTGTCAACTGGCATCAAGCTACAAAGAATAGGACCGAATGAATGAATCAGCGTAGAAACGTCAAGGCTCATTTCTGGCCTTCGTCGCACCAATGATGATGAATGCAAACATAACAACGGATGAACAGAAGCTAATTTATTTTCGCTCTACCAACGATATAGTTCTAGTGTTAAACAATTTGAGATTGACATTTTATTTGAAATAAACAACATTTTTTAATACTGATTTGAAAATATTTTAAAAACATACTTCAAATTGAAGAAAATTATAAATAATTTGTTATGAATAAAATTTTTCGAAGTATATGATTCAATCAATAATTATTATAATTATTTAATACTTGCCCATATTTTCGCATATTTTTTCTTCTTCTTCAGTGCCTTATCCGGTCCGGATGTTGGCGACCATCAAGGCTATCATGGTTTTGTTGATTGCTCTGCGAAACAGCTCCACGGAAGTCATCCCACATCATTGTCGGAGGTTTTTAAATCACGAGATACGACGGCGTCCCTGTCCTCTCCTGCCAAATACTTTACCCTGCATAACGAGTTGAAGAATTCGAAATTTTTCTTCGTTCCGCATCACGTGGCCGAGGTACTCAATCTTACGTTGTTTCACTAAATTAAGCAAATCTTTTTCTTTTGTCATGCGCTGTAAGACCTCAACGTTGGTGACATGGTCCATATCCGATATTTTTAGTAGATATCCTCCTTTAGATCCACTTTTCGAAGGCTTCAATCCTCTTTTCGCTTCGGCTTGCGTCAGTGTCCAGTCTTCAACTCCATATAGTAATACTGGAAGAATGTAGCACCTCACTATCCGCATCTAAGTGAATCTGTCGACTCTCTGGATCTCTTCGCTATCTGCCATTAGTGCCTCGGGATCTAAATATGCACGGCTGACATCCATGAATTTAGTTTTCTTAATATTAAGGTCTAGTCCGATTGTTACGCTCACAATTCTCACACGGTCTAGTAAGGTTTGTAGATTTTTTAGGCTGGTTGCTAGTAACACAGTGGCATCGGCGTAACGGCTAGAATCGGTTATTTATGAAAGGCCTCATGTCACTTTTTTTCAAATTTTCGTTTAACTTAGAAAATGATAACCCATATGTTCACACATCGTTTGCTTATGAAAAGCCTCATGTCTTGTTATTCCTTTATCAGATATATAAGTTTAAAATTATTGTTTATTTATGAAAAGCCTCGTGTCAGTGACAAGGGGCATTTCATAAATAAAAGCACTGTTGGCAACATTGCGCTGTCGGCTGGTTGTTGACAGATATTCAGTGTTTGGAGATTAATAATTAACCTCTTGTTGTTTTATTTTATAATCAACCGTTAAATAATAAAGTAAAATATTTCTCTTCAGTTATTGTTAAAGTGATTTAACTTATGTTTTGAAATAATGTCAGAGAGTGAAAATCTCGTTGAAATTGAAGCACATAGCAAGAAGCGAAAGAGGGGTGTTCGTTAACATGAAGAATATAAATTTATTCGAATTAAGAAAGCTAGATGTCGTGGTAAAGAATATCTAAATTATAGAGGAAATGTTGAACCACGCAAAACAGTATTACCATGCTCGTAAGTTACGTTTTATCTTATAACGTACTATTTTAGATAGGAAATAAGATGATAATTAGAAGCCAGTTTTAAAACCTTGCTTAGTTCCACAATAGTTACCTTTTTCAAATGTTGCAGATGCAGATTGAGATGTTTCGAGAGTTATGTGAATAGGACGAAGTTGAAATTTTATGCAGAGGGACAAACTTTGCAAACAAAAATGAGCAACACATTTTTTACCAGTCCTTAATAGAAGTAGGGCCCGTACGGAAGAGAAGGTCAAGATTAAAACAAAACACTTCCGAAGATGAAGCTGAAGATGTTTTTTTTAAGCCCAAACATTTTTGTTCTATGCCAAAAAGGATCAACATCTGCAAAAAGGCTTTTTTAAGTCTGCACGGTATTGGTAAAAAAAGAGTAACAAGACTGCAAGATCTTTTTGTAAAAGGTAAATCTCCTAGAGATTTAAGAGGCCAACAGAATAATCGGAGGACCCTTCCACTTGATAATACGGATCTTGTAAAAGAACACATTCAGACTGAAAACAAGTCACTATTCTTCTAATGAAATAGAATCTCTAGATGCTAAGCTGGACATAAAAAAGATGTTCAATTTGTTCCAAGAGAAATATAACGACTTAAACGTGAAGTATAGTTTTTACTACAAACTTTTCAAAGAACATTTCAATTATAGATTTGGAAGTCTTCAAATTGACACTTGTGAATGTGAACTGCTCAATATTACAATAAAAAAATCCTCAGTTAAATGAAACATCAAAACGAGTTGCAGTTGCGCAATTACTTGTGCATAAGAAGCGTAGCAAACAGTTTTATTCATCCCTTCGACAGACGAAAGAATCGATGTTTGATTGTATGGCAAACATATCGCTTCTCACAATTCCAGTGCAGGAAATATACTACCTTAGACAACTGTCCGTCTATCCGTTTGGCATTCACTACAGTAATAATTACACTGCTACATTTTATTTATACCACCAGGGAGTTGCTGGAAAGGGAAGTATGAAGTTTACTCTTTCTTGAAGAAGTATATTGATGAGAATGTTCCAGCTAATGTAGATGAATTGTACTTATCAATGACAACTGTACAGGACAAAATAAAAATCATACAATGATTAGGTTTTTAATGTAACTTACAGATAGTGGAAGATTCAAAAAAGTTGTCTATAGACTTTCAATAAGGGGTCACTCGTATTTACCATATGACAGGGTCTTCGGCCTTGTAAAATGAAATCTAAGGAAACATGATGAATTGTACACTTAGAAAGATAAAACAGAAATAGTACTTTCATCTACAAAACAGAGAAAATTTACTGTGGATTTAGTGGAACAATGTTTTGGACTTTCAAAGTTAGTGGCCCAAATTATACAAAAAAATACTGTTTTAGAAGAAAGTAAAATTGAGAAAAACAAAAAAAGGAAATGTTTACTATTTCTTCCTACCATGAATTTACTTGCGAAAGATTTAAAAAAGGAGTGGTTGTTGTATCTGATTTCATAGGTGGATTTATTAACAAAACTTTCAAATTATTATCTAATCCACTGTCTATTGCTGAGCCATCCTCCCCTTCCTCATTAGCAAGAAAAACTCATGAATTAAAGGTACTAATTCATTAAGAAAAAATTAATGACCTGAAGAAACTTTTGCAGCTTGCCCAATGGTCTAGAGTTGCAACGAAAAAATGAGCCAAAACGTATAAAATGGCAATTAATTGTAGCTAATTGTATTGTCTTAGAACTGTTTTAATAAAGTTAATAACATTAATTATAAATAAACACGGTGTAAATTCATCCACCAATCAAAACTTTTCCCGTAAAACAACACTTTTGTTTATGAAAGGCCTTTTGTCAGATATTTTTAATAATAAAAAAAATATAATATTGATTTTAAAAAGTGTAACTAACATGATTTATTTTTGAGTTTTAAGGTTCTTAAAATGTTTCGAAAAATCAGAAAAGCATAAAATCGTTTTTTATAAAACTAAACAGTTTTTTCTTGTTTTCCAAAATTTACATTTTGTGACAAGAGGCCTTTCATAAATAAGCGATTCTATTATTGATGTATTCACCGTTCACTCGGATTCCCACCTCTAGGTTTGTGAGGGCTTCAGTAAAAATTTCCTCAGAGTATCTATTGAAAAGAGTCGGCGAGAGCCCACAGCCTTGCCTTCAGCCTTCACTTGGTCGGTCAGCTGGTCTTCGACCTTGACTTGAGCACTCTGGTTCCAGTGTAAATTCATGAAGATCCGAATGTCCTACTCTTTGTAATGCGGCGACCATCTTCTGGTGGTGACAACGGTAAAATGCCTTGGCGTAGTCAATAAAACAAATATAGACATCACAACTGACATCGCGGCATCTCTGAAGTAGGACTTGTAGGGTAAAAAGTGCTTCACGGGTACCCATGGAATTACGGAATCCAAATTGCATTTCACATATTTAAATATGAATATCTACCACAAACTTATGCTGGTATAAGCTTAACTTGATGCAATGAAACTTAAAACTTAATCTAACCAATCTAATCAAATTTTGGTATAATTAAACTTTTCCAAAAAGAGCACTAAAAAAAAGAACGGAAAGTATGTATTTGGGTATTCGTTAAAGTATAATGATCTGAGGCGGAGGAGAACGACAGTTCGTTGCCTAATTAAAAAATGAATAGAAATGCGAGAGCCATTAGGTATAACATAGGATCAAAAGGGTATTAACAAAAAGGACTGATTACCTTAAAATATTAAAAAAAAATTGATCCAAACTCAACAAAATACGTAAAAAATTATATGCAAAACTACACTGGGGAAGCAGAATATAAATAGTTTTTAGTATTAGTATATAAAATTAGTTATATTACCTCACAAATTTTACCACTGAATTTATTTATTTTCTTATAATCTTTTTCAAATATTGTCTAAACGTAGGTAATAAACCAAAAAAACGTTACTCCTAAAATTTATTTAGCTTAAAAACAGTAGTGAATCGCATTATTGTTAAATTTTGTTTGTTTCAGTGCCATAATAATGTCCGTAATTGGTGAACCGAGCTATGCCGGGTGGGCCGCCCAGCGGGCAGCCGGCTTCGGCGGTAATATCACCGTTGTGGACAAGGTAAACACATTTGACTATCTAGTAATATTTGTTTTTTTAATACAATACCTTAAACGTATAAATAATCTTATGAGATCAAAGAACATCAACGGAGCACAGGAAACTTACGCAAAGTTAAAAACGCAAACAAAAAGGCTATGACTGGAAATTAACACAGAAAAAACAAAAATAATGATACGGACGAGAAGAAATATAGTCCTATAAAACATTATACATGATGACATTAAAACGGTTGGAAAGTTTACATACCTGGAAGTAGAAATATATGCCGAAATACGTATATGAGACTCTATAAAACCCTAATTCGACCAATAGCATGCTATGGCAGTGAAGCATGGCTCCTGAAAGAAACATCCAAAAGGAAACTCGACACATTCGAAAGGAAAGTACTGAGGAGAATACTAGGACCTGTGAGGGAAAACAGAATCTTCAGAAGTCGATACAAAATTTAGTTTTATCAACTTTATAAGGAAGCACCACTGTCAGACTTCATTAAAATACAAAGATTGCAATGGGCCGGACATGTGATAAGAATGGGAGAGGATAGACTACAAAAAGCGCACGGAATGCTAGAATGCAGGGAAAGAGACCGGTTGGAAAGCCAAGAATGCGCTGAGAAGACACAGTAAACAGCGACGCACAAGCCCTTTTAGAAGTCCTTGTTTGGAGAAGATCAGCCACAGACAAGCAACGGTGGAGGTAAAAACTAAAAGAGGCCACGGCTCAATTTGGGCTGTAGTGCCGTAGAAGAAGAAGAAGAACAAAACTACCATCAATCAAACAAGGTAACCAATGATGCAGACATTCATGACGATAAATTTATATAGTAGTAAAGTGAAGATGACAACCTGTGAGTGGTTGGCTCGGGCAACATTGAAAGGCATTGGAAAGCACTTTGAAAAGCATTATTAAAACAAATGGATAACACTTGAAAACTGTCTATCAAAGAATACAAAATATCGTCAGTATATAAAGCAAGAATCTAAGATCAAATGAATTATATCTCTTCTAACGCAAGGATCACAAACAGACATTTACAAAAAATTACAGGTATTAGTAACACAATAGAACTGCAAGGAAGAACTGAATTAATGAGATGTCCCCAAAAACGATACGTTGGGTGAAGGTGAATTAAAATTGTTGAGGATAGCAAAAGACGAAAAAAAGGAAAATTTAATACTATGACTACAAAACTATAAAACAAAAATGATTGCTAACTGTAGGGTTGTAGCTGATACACAGACGGGACCAAAAACGGCAGAAGGCCGAGTGCTGGAATATTGAATAGTTGTGGAAATTTAAACATTTATTATTTTATTTCGGATTTTATTTCAAAGCGATGTAGGCAGTTGGTGTTTATCTTATCAAATATAAATCTTACACAATTAAAACTAATAGAATAGTTAAAAGAACTTTAATATTTAGCAAATCATAATCATAACCGACTAGTAAGAGTAGAAAACTCTGATACTTTTGTTATTGTTTAAGAGAATATATTGTAAATAGTTGAAATATTTAAGACTAGATTATTAACCTAAATATTTCTGAAATCCCGTTACATAAAAATAGGTGACCAGCTCCAGTGTGACAACTATAGAGGTATAACCCTGTTAACAACTGCTTACAAAATACTAGCAAATATTCTCTACGAAAGATTGCAAGTTTACACAGTGGGCATAATTGGTAAATATCAAGTTGGATTCTCTCCAGAAAAATCAACAATTGACCAGATTCATTCAATAAGACAGATTCTCGAGAAAACAGAATTCAATATTGAAACCCATCACCTATTCGTCGACTTCAAGGCCGCATACGACAGTGTCAAGAGAACAGTGCTATACCAATCAATGCATGAGTTTGGTATATCAGAGAAACTTATCCGACTAACGAGAATGACAATGTCTAACTTAGAAGCCACTGTTAGAATACAGGGAGAGAGTTCTAGATCCTTTGAGATAAAGGATGGACTCAGACAAGGAGATGCTCTGGCTTGCCTCCTATTTAATATTGCCTTAGAAAAGGCAGTCCGAGATACACGAATTGGGGATAACGGTACTATTTACAATAGATCGATACAAGTCTTAGCATATGCTGATGACATTGACATAGTAGGGCGTAGCAAGCGAGATGTTGAGCAATATCTCCTAGAACTGGAAACAGCGGCGAAACAGGTCGGTCTAGTCATCAACGAAGACAAAACCAAGTACATGTTGGTTACAAAAGATCCGATAGCAAATGAGGAACGAGAAACAGTCTTTGAAAGTCATACCTTTGGACGTGTTGACAACTTCACATACCTTGGGTCGCTATTGACTGCTACCAATAAAACAAGCAAAGAAATCAAAAGACGAATAAATCTTACAAATAGGGCATACTATGGACTCCAAAAGCATTTCCACTCAAGAACCATTCAAAGAAAAACTAAAATTATTATATACAAAACATTGCTGAGGCCGGTCCTCACATATGGAGCAGAAACATAGACTCTAACGCAGAAAGATGAAAGACTTTTGGAAATATTTGAGCGTAAAATACTCCGCAAAATATTTGGAGCTGTAAACGACCAAGGGCAGTGGCACAGAAGATATAATTTTGAATTGTATCAGCTCTTTGATGAGCCAGATGTCATAACGTTCATTAAAACACAGCGACTTAGATGGGCTAGACACATAATACGAATGCCAGAAAATACCATTGCTAAAAAGCTAACCACAGGAACACCTGTAGGAAAAAGAAGCAAAGGCCGACCGCGAATTAGGTGGTTAGATGGAGTAGAAACCGACTTACGAATATTAAAAATCAGAAGATGGCAACATGTTGCCAAAAACCGAACAGAATGGCGACGAATCTTAGAGCAGGTCAAGATCCACAGAGGATTGTCGAGCCAAAGATGATGATGATGATTTCTGAAATCTAGAATGAATGGATATGATAGACATTATATTGCCAACTTTATATCTGTTTTCAGTAATGGACATGGTAAGGGCAAAATAAGTTTGAAAATTTAGGTAAATATTTATAGAATATTACATAATATTCGAGGTAGCTTTTAACTGTTGGTTTACTCGTGTAAGTTCATTTTTAAGAAAAAACTTTACATTTTATTTGGTTACTTTAAAAATGACCTAGGTGCTCTTCTTTTAGGTATTGCCAGATATGTTACATATGGTAGATGCCTATTGGTACCAATTCCCACCTATGAACCCATTATGGCACGGCATTTTGGGGTTCATGATCGGTGTTTTGGGCTTCGTCTCCATTACAGGAAATGGTAAAGTATGATTCATAGTAAAAAATATAATAATACTGACTACATTACAAGAATAGGAAATATTTTTAGTAGATATAAAAAAATTAGGAAAAATCGTAGACTGTAGTGATAAAAAAGCATACAATGTTTTTCGTCCATTAAATAGTTTATTTTTCCCTTCATTAAAACCCGGAATATTGCCTTATTTTGCTTCAATAGTAAATCTCAAATTGGTCACGCTAGGTTGATTAAATAATATATTATTTGTTCACTTCGTCAAAAATAGAAATATTGTCCATTATTGTTATTCTTCCTAAATCAGGTGAGACCTACTTGTCTCTGGTCCTTGGTCTTGAGACGTTTGTACTAAATCTTGTCGTTGGCCTTCAGCGCTTGTAAGCTAAGATGAAATATTGAGCCAAACTGTGGTTACTGCTAAATTTATTTGTCTGTCATTTTTCTTTAACAATTTATGTGCCAGGCACTCTGTTATATAATCCTTCTTACTCGTTTGATGCATGGCTCGTGTTCGATAACGTGTTTTTATCAATTGGCACCACTTTTTCTTCTATTTCCTGTTTTATATGTTTTTTCTTCTTTCAAAAAATTATTTCAGCTACTCGTAACAGTATTTGGGCTCAATTAGTATTTGTTCTATTTTTGGAAGTGGGTCCTTGGGTATGCGTGTACCTTGGTCCTCTTGCTAATACTATAACTTTCAATATAATTGCTTACAAATTCGCTCTTGTAAATGATAAAAAGTTTCCATCATCATGGGAGCAAAATAACGCTGAGAATGGCTAAGATATTTTCTAAGGCGTTACGCAGTAGAATTATCACTTTCAAAACCGGAGCCTACAAGCCTACAAAGATCCACCTCATTTAATAAAGCCAATGTCAGCTCATTTTGTACAAATTACAAGAAAGCTCTGTCTCGAAATGAATTTTCGCCACACAAATTTTGGAACTGTGATGAAACTGGTCCATGTCCCTCCTGAAATAATTGGCCCAAAAGACATGGACAGATGACAAGTGGAGAAAGAGAACAGAATATTACTGTAATTGCGGCAGTACATGCCTCTGGTACTCATATTCCACCTATGATGGTGTTTCCTGGAGTACATTTCAAATCCCATATGTTGAAAGGAGCTCCTGTAGGCACAGTTGGAGGTGCCAATTCATCTGGCTGGTCTAATGAGTCACTTTTTTGCAGTTCCTGGAGCATTTTAAATGCCATGTACAACCGTCTATCGAAGACCCAGTTAATTTACTTCTTGAAAACCATGATAGTCACGTTAATGTACCAGTGATTCAGTTTTGTCAAAACAATGGCATAACATTGGTTACTTTCCATACTCACACAAGCAACAAGCTTCAGCCGCTCGATAGGACTGTATTTGGGTCATTGAAAACGTATTACAATACAGATTGTAGTAATGGATGCTTATGCACCCAGGGCAGTCTATAAGTATCTACGACATTGCAGATTTAATAGGGAAAGCATTTCTAAAAGTTTTTTGTACATCGAATATTTTTAAAGGATTTGAAGTATCGGGGCTTTATCCCCTTGAAGACATATTCCAAGAACACGAATTTCTCACCTCTTATGTTTCGGATCGTCCACTAGAAAACAACAACAGTGGTGTTAATGCTCAATCTGAAAGTACCGAGAACGTTGATGTTAATTCTTAAAACTTCAAATGGTTGATGTGATGTTGTAGCCTGTTCAAGTGTTGCTTTAGCTAATCAGACCAAAAACTGTTGAAGTATTCTAAATAACCGAAACCAAATTAATTCTCCTTCGACGTCTGTTGCTGTTACTCCAGAAATGCTACGTCCATTTCCTAAAGCACCTCCCCGAAAAAAAGGTCAGTGGAAGAAGACCACGATAAACAAAAACAGTTTATCAAAAAGAAGAACAACTTTTACTTCTAAGGAAACCAAAAAGGAATTATCATCAAGTTCAGAATCCGAAAATGAAAACTTATCCCTTAGCAGTGAAAGCAGTGACGAAGAAAATTGGAAGGAGTATATTCAAAGAGCTTTAATTTTCTCGAAGATATAATTAGTGAAACAGCTCGTCAAGCTCAAATGTTAAGATTTGGAATAAGTTTTGGACAATATGACGTTGAATGACCACAAATATATTTAATTTTGCTTTTTTTCTTTATAAAAATAATTTCAAGAGTTTCGTTTGAATAAAATTTAGATCTGAAAGAAGCAGTTTATTGATGATCCTCGAAAATGTTGACCCTATTTACTAATTTCATTTTTATGCATTTTAAGTTGTGATATAACTATCTTTTTACATCATTTTGGTAACTGAATTATTGTTCCAAGGTACAATACTAGGAGGTCCAAGGTACAAGACCAAATTGTACCTCGGTCCATTCTACATCAAATTAAAAATGATTAAATTTATGTCTTAAACATATTTCTTTAAACCTTTTAAATACATTGGTGCTTATGAAACATATTGCTAATTTGCTATGTTAAATCCCAACTCAATACGTTAAATAGTAAAATAGTTACAGGTCATTAAAAAAAAGTGTCCCAAGGTACAACACTCTCCTCTATGTTATAACCTGCCTTTTAGATCATAACCTTATTTTTACATCTATCAATATAATCACAACTTGTTTTCCACATTGTACGTAATTACATCTTATAACTTTCTTCATCCTATAACGAAATTAAATCGGCAGTTCTTAACGGTGGTAAAACGTTTGTGGTTAAAAAAGAACCAATTGCCAAAAAAGACTGGATGACACCAGATATTATAAACCTCATAGAAGAAAAACGAAAATATAAAAATACAAATAAAGAAAAGTACAAGCAAATGAAGAAACTGGTAGAAACGCAGATCAAGGAAGCTAAAGAACACTGGATGGTAGAAAATTGTAGAGAAATAGAAGAACTTAGTATGAAACACGACACACATGGGCTACATAAGAAACAAAAAAATTACAGGAAATAATCGGAAGAGAATACCACAAGTTATACGAAACTCCAAGGGGGATCTCCAATTATCAGCAGTAGAAAAACAACAAACTTGGGAGAAATACATCAAGGACTTATTCGCAGATAATAGGGAAGAAGTAAATGATACATTACCAACTAATGAAAATCTAAAAATTCTGATATCAGAGGTTAAACAGGCAATTAAAATCTCAAAAAGTGGTAAAGCGCGAGGTGCCGATGAAATTCCTGTAGAGATATTAAAAATCCTGAATGATGAAAATATAGAGTGTCTAACTAAATTATTTAATAAAATATACCACGATGGTCAAATCCCGGATGAATGGTTAAAATCTATCTTTTTACCCTTACCCAAGAAAACTAATCCTAAATCTTGCGATGAGTACCGATTAATTAGCCTTATGAGCCACACTTTAAAATTACTACTCAAAGTTATTCAGCAACGTATATATAAAAAATGTGAAGAACAATTAGACAATACACAGTTTGGATTTAGATGTGGAATGGGAACAAGAGAGGCACTGTGCGTAATGCCGGTACTATTACAAAAATGCAGGGAATATAATAAAAACGTATTCATATGTTATATAGATTTCCAAAAAGCTTTTGATAGAGTAAAACATGGTAAACTCATACATACGGAATCTGAATCTGTCGTACGGGTGGAAGATAGTGAGACAAACCAGGTGGAAATTCAAAGACGAGTCAGACAGGGATGTGTGCTGTCGCCATAATTATTTAATGTGTACTCCCAACTAATATTTCAGGAGGCACTATGGGAAAGAACTGAAGGTGTAAGGATTGGACGGAGCATCATTAATAACATAAGATTTGCAGACGATACCGCAATCATGGCAGAGAATATAGACGATTTACAAACTCTCCTGGAAATCATTAACAGAGAAAGCAAAAAGATGGGACTAACAATGAATATAAATAAAACCAAATACATGATGATCTCAAAAAACCCTGTTGACAACATACAACTGACATTGGAGGGTAAACCCCTAGAGAGAGTCGACAAATATAAATACCTCGGAGCAATTATAAACTCACAGTTAGATCAAGAGCAGGAGATAAAGGTCAGAATAGAAATAGCTCAAAAAGGCTTTATAAAATACAAGTCAATGTTTACAAATAAGAAATTGAGTATGGCCATCAGATTGAGTTTCGTCGAATGTTATGTTTGGTCGCAACTACTATATGGGGTAAAAGCTTGGACTCTGGAAGCCCAATCTATAAAAAAATTGGAGGCATTCGAAATGTGGCGATATAGGCGTATTTTGAAGATTCCTTGGACTGCAAAAGTCTCAAATGAGTAAGTGTTAAGACGAGTTGGACATGGCAGAAACTTATGAACACAATTAAAATAAGAAAAACATCGTATCTGGGCCACATACTCCGAAATGATAAATACTCTCTGCTACAAGTCATCATGCAAGGTAGAGTAGAGGGAAGTAAAGGCTTTGGAAGAAAGAAGAAATCTTGGCTGAGGAATATCAGAGATTGGACTAACCTCAGTGTTGAACAGATATTTCACGTTGCAAAAGATCCTGAAGCATTTAAAGAAGTGATCGCCAACCTTCGTTAGAAGACGGCACAAGAAGAAGAAGAAGAACTTTCTTAGGTTTGTTTATGTGTTATGTGATTTCAGTTTTTTTGGAGGCATCTCTTGTAACTTAATATCGTATAAGAAAAAGGTAAAAGTAACAATAATGTTAAGGATTTACCTACTTTCTATTGTCTAAATTAATACGGAATTGTTTGTGTTTTTTCAGGAATGGTAATTTACATCTTTATGGGTACAAAAGCGTTACGAACTCCCTCCAATTTGTTAGTTGTTAATTTAGCATTTTCTGATTTCCTAATGATGACTACTATGGCTCCTCCTATGGTTATTAACTGTTATAATGAAACATGGGTTTTAGGTAAGTTAAATATTACTAGTCGTTCACACTTAAAATACAACAAACAAAATATGGGACAATCCTAATCTAAAAAAGTTGTTTCTTGAATATTTATTTCAAATCTGTAAATAACAGATGGTAAGATATTTTTTTTATTGGTACCCCATTTTGCTTATTTAAAATACGCCATAGTGTTTAAATTCAACTTCCAAAACAGTTTTAAATATCTGTCTGACCTAACAGGAGTAGGTACATAACTTGTAACGTCAAATAAATAAAATATGAATAAAATATTACAACAAATATTTCAAAAGCTTTATTTAAATATTTGGAAATCTTAATTTTAAAATAATGTGAAAAGTACAGTTGGTATTGTTTGAAATATTTATAATTCCGTTTTTAAATCAGAGGAACTGCTGTTCAAATTAATACTACCGACATTCTGGGAAGTCAATGGGGTTGTACTTTCATTAATGGCACTCCCAATATTGTTCTCATTATTCATTTTTGTCATTCTTCTTTTAAGTAATATACAACCAGTAATAACAATTAATCTGATGTGACAGATTGCAAATTAATTTTTGTTTTTCTTATTTCCATGTATATAAAGGTATACTAATGTACATCACAAATTCAACCATTTCCATTATTAGCTCTTATTTAAATTTTTTGTAGTAATAATACATGATTTCAAAGTGTACCGATAAAAAAATAGCGTAAAGTACTCCGGCTGCTCCGTCGTGCTCGAAAAATCGCGTGTGTTTTAAAGACCTCAATATCCAGTTATACTTTAATATACTATTTTTTGGGCATTTTTGTTTTATTTTCCAAAGGCTCATCTTTGTTTATCTTCTTCTTCTAGTGCCGTCTCCACCGATAAAGATGAGGTTGATCAACTGCTTAATATTCCCAATACTGACCTACGGATGTGAATCTTGGACTCTGAGACAATCGGAGAGAAGAAAGATAGACGTCACTGAAATGTTCTGTTGGAGACGAATGTTACGAATTTCTTGGACCGATCGTAGAACAAATAATTCAATTTTAGGAGAGCTAAAAGTTAGCCAACGACTCTCTAGTAAAGTCCATCTCCAACAATTAAAATATTTTGGGCATGTTATGAGAGCAAACACAGAAAACATGGAAAGACTCATAATACAAGGAAAGGTAGAAGGCCGAAGATCACGAGGAAGATCCCCAACAAGATGGATAGATCAAATTACAGGAATATGCCAAAGACCTATGCATGAATTAAAAGAAATGACCAGAGACAGAGATCTCTGGAGACGGACAATACACGACATCACGTCGACCACTACACTCCCCCTGGGGGGTCAGGATTGAAGAGAGAGAGAGAGAATCAGCTGCAACAACTCGTAGTTATGATTTCTAAGTATGTGCTACATATGCTGTCTTTTAATAGTGGTCAAAAGTTCTCTGTCTCTTCCCATTCTGTGCAAAACCGTTTCGTTCGTAATATGAGCGGTCCATACTACCTTCAAAATTCTCCCAAAAAGCCTCATCTCAAAAGTTTCCAGTTTTCTCATTAAGTCAACATTTACAGTCCAGACTTCGACACCATAAAGAAGAATAGAGTGGATATAATATTTTACCATCCGATATCGTATTTGCAGAATGAGTCTTTGGTTAGTCAGAAATTTCCTCATCTTTAAAAAAGGTTGCTCTTGATTGCTCTATTCTTGAGCGAATTTCAGATTTTCCGTAATCCAGATTCCTAAATATTTCATTTTGTCCACTTGCCCAATATCTTCATTTTTTATTTGGATCCTTGTAATAACTTTGTCCCTCTTACTGATAACCATGGTTTTTGTTTTCTTTTATGTTTATTGCTAAACCAAACTGTTGCCCAGTATCACAAATTGTATTTAGTAACGTCTGCAGGTCTGTCTCACTTTCATCGATAATGACTGTATCGTTAGCATAACAAATGTTAGTTATATTTTCACCATTTATCTTTATCCCTTCTGTACAGTGTACAAGTGCTTGCGTAAATAACTCTACGGAATATATTAAATAGTAATGGTGAAAGTATACAGCTCTGTCTCACTCCTCTACTTATCTGTTGCGCATCCGCGCTATTTTTCTCTTTAGACATTCGATGAGAATGTTATGTTTAACTTTGTCGAAAGCTTTCTCATAGTCTATAAACGCAACGAAAAGATATTTTTATTGGTCTCGACATTTTTGGGCAAGAGTTATGAAACTATACAGAGCTTCCACTATTCCGAAACCATTACGAAAGCCTAACTGTCTATTACTCTTATCCGCTCATAATCTCTGTTTATATGTGTTTCAAATTATTAACATAAAACAAACTTTGGAATTTAAAAAACAAATGTAATAACGAGAAAAACAACTGCATAATATATAGAAAATATAGCATTCTATTTTACAAAGCACCTATAAATTTTACTATATCTTAAACATCTTCCATCGGATGAAGATTCGGTAAATTTTTCTGGTGACTTAGGCTTGGTATGTTTTTGTCTTTAAAATCACCATAACCTTAGACACGTGACATGGAGCCAAATGTTATTGAACAACAGCTCTTCTTCTACTTTCTTTGCAATACTCTATTATCGGCTATTGGCTATTACCTTGGCTATACTAATTCTGTTCACGGCATCTCGAAAAAGTAATGCAGATGATCTGTTAAACCATTCTCTCAGGTTTCTAAGCCTAAGCCATAACGTTATTTTTCGATCTGGCCCTTTTCTTCCGTCTATCTTGCCTTGTATTATTAAATGAAGTATATTATATCTCTCTGGGTGATGCATAACGTGGCCAAATTATTTCAGTTTGCGATTCTTAACTACTCTGAGCACTTCCGTAACTTTCTTATCCGCTATAAAACAATCTCATTACGAACTCTATCTCTTCAATTCACTCGTAGGATTCTCCGATATATCCAGATTTTAAAGATATCTAGCGTTTTGAGAAGTGTATCCGCTAATGTCCAACCTTCGACACCATACAAAATAATAGAGAACACATAACATCTTACTACTCTAATTTTCAGTCTCAAAGTAATATTGTTATATTGTTTCCACATAAAAGTTTCTTCATCTTAAACAATATCAATTCAATCCAATATTGACTAATAAAAAACTGACTGGGAGAGGTTCAAAATAAATCTTGAACACAAAATTAATCTTGTTGTGCCATTGAGAAACACAAGGCAATTTGATGACGAATTAGTTTTTATAAAAATATCCAACAGAGAGCTTGGAAAAATACTTCCACAATCACTTCTAGAACAAAAAGGAACAACTTTCAAAAAGAAATCCTGGAACTCCTAATAGAAAAAAGAAAGTTAAGACGTAAATGGCAGCAATATAGAGCTCAGACGAGACAAAACTACATAGTTTAAATAATGCTACACAAAAACTAAAAAGGGAGATACATAATATAAAAAATTCAACAATTGATTCCTTTTTAAGTAATTTAACAGTTGACCAGAACACAGATTGTTCGTTACAAAAGGCAACAAAAAGAATGAAGAGACCAATGATTCATTCTCCTTCTATTAAGTTGCAAAACAGCTACAAAGTAACGAACAGAAAGCAAAACGATGTGCAAATCATTTAGAAGGCACGTTTAAAATTCAACGACAATGATGGTGAAGAACTGAGATGGGAAGAACCATTCGAAACCGAATAGAGAATAACGTTGACATAATTTAGAGAAGTATCAAAAGACATAAAAAAATATAAATCCTGAGAAAGCTCCAGGATATCTTATAACAGGACAACTATTAAAAAATCTACCAAGAAAAGCCATAGTTAAGCTGACACACCTAATAAATGCTGCTTTTAGATTGAAATATGTTCCCAGACTCTGAAAAGTAGCCGAAGTCATTATGATGGCCAAACTAGGTAAACTTCCTAATGAAGTGACATCCTATCGATCAATATCACTCTTTCTGGTGATGTCAAAACTATTTGAAAAACTTCTATTGAAAAGGTTCAAACCAATAATAGAAAGAAACAATCTTATACCAAATCATCAATTTGGTTTCAAAAATATACAATACAATCTTCTTGGATATAGTATAGGCGTTTCATAAAGTTTAAACTATAAACTAAGAACATTTATGCCTAAACAGTATTCAGAGAATCATACATATTGCGAATATATTTCAAAGTAAAACAAGAAGAAGTGTATACCGATTTAAGGGAGATCAAAGATAGGGTACCACAAGGGATTGTATTAGATCCGGTCTTTTACCTATTGTATACGTGTGACATTCCAGCGCTAGAACAAAACACTATTGCCACCTTCGCGGGTGATACAGTCATACTAGCGATAGGAGACACTAGTAAAGAAGCGACTGAAGTTGCTACTATCATTAAATACAATAAATACCTGGACCAGAAAAAACCGAATAAAATTAAATGAGACTAAATCTGCACACATTAACTTTACAAATAAAAAAATAGAAAATTATCCAGTTTCAATAAATACCCAAGTTCCTTATGCAACATCAGCAAAATACTTGGGAATCATCCTAGACGCGAGGCTGCGCTGAAAAGTCCATGTCAAAAAGAAAAGAGGGGAGCTTGATATTAGATATAAGAAATTGTATTGGCTGATTGGAAAAAAAATTAACATTATCCATTCATAATAAATTACTCTTTTACAAGCAAGTACTGAGGCCAGTATGGATATATGGGTGCCAACTCTGGGGCTGTACCAAAGCTAGTAATCTACATATTATCCAGAGATTTCAAAACAAAGTAATGAGGAACATTGTTGATGCTCCTTGGTATATCCGTAACAGCAACCTCCACCAGGACCTGTGTATGGAAACTGTGACCGAAGTAATCAAGAGAACAGCAGCAGGGGCTGCATAGTCATGTGAATGTGGAGGCAATCCAGCTTCTTGACAATACTGAACTAAATAGAAGACTCACAAGGACAAAACTTAATAATTTATACAGTTTTGTAAAGCTTAGGGCAAAGATTAAATATCTAAAAATACACAACTACAAATATGATCATAATTTTTGACCGTGAAAAGAACAAGTGTTAGATATCTTGGATAGAATAAAATTAAAAACAACTGGTACTTATATTTTGTAAAAAATAAGCAGTAAAAAAAGAAGGAAAAAGGATGTGGTAGAGGAGTAGATGGATGAGTGAAGAGACTAAATTGGATAAAATTCAGATTTAATTTATTAGAGGAAGTCTAAGTGCAGTACGAATATGCACCCAAATGAAACAGTAGTTAAGATTATTAGGGTGCATTCCAGGTCGAAACGATTATCAAAAAACTATTATCTTACAAAAAACCAAAACTCGCTAGAAGTAGCAGAGAATGAAAGAAATAATATTATGGTGGAAGACAACTAGACAACCCATCTGTGGAAGGAATTAATATTGATATGACCCAAGAAGAAACTTATGAAGAATATATTTAGGGTAGTATACAGAGAAAAATTAAAAGAAATATTTGTTAAAATGTAATAAATGTAATTTTTTGTAGGTCCATTCTTTTGTGAGTTATACGGTATGTTTGGCTCACTCTTCGGCTGTGCTTCAATCTGGACGATGGTATTCATCGCCCTGGACCGATACAATGTTATTGTTAAAGGACTGAGTGCTCAACCTCTTACGAAAAAGACTGCTATGTTGAGAATCTTGTTGATATGGGCTATGTCCGTTGGTTGGACCATTGCACCACTATTCGGCTGGAACAGGTAAGATCTTGTGGCTATATGTTGGCTTATTCTTTTATTCTTATATAAATTAACTAATCTTAGAAACTTAAAAATGATGTAGAGAAATATTCCTAATCTAAATAAAAATCGGCCATTCAGGCCAAGTATTTCGAAGTTCATGAAATAATAATAATTATAACCTTAATGAATATAAGTTAATGTCTATCCTGTCTATAAAAAGACGGAGGATAAAAAATAACGAACAATTGAATTTGCAAAACCTGGCAATGAATAAAAATATTTAAAGAGAAGAAATTAATTAACATCACGAACAACTGAATCCCAATAATAAAATTGAAAATTGAATAAACAACAATACTAAAGAATATGGCAACTTATTCTTCATGAGACGTCCCATGAGCCTTTTCTTATTATAGTTATGTTCTCAATAGTTATGATTCTATATTTATTCTATTTAGAATTTCTTCATTTGTTTTTCGTGTAGCCCAAGGAATTTTTTTAATTCTCCGGTACACTCAAGTTTCGAATTTCTTTAACTTTTGCAGAATCTTTATCTTTAGGGTCCACGTTTTGACTGACTCGATAGATAACCGATCAGACAAACATTTCACAAGTTTTAACCTTAGTTTGATATCGATGTGTGTATCACAGAGAAGACTTAAATAAACTATCTTTATAATAGTTTAATCAATTCTCGCTTTAATTTCTTATTTTGCGTGAAGCTTGTTGCTAATATAGAAGCCAAGGTATTTATATTGGTTTGCCTGTTCTAATATCTTCCAATTTATTATTATACTTAGGTTAAGGGATATTCTGTCTCTTTTGGATTACCATTGTCTTGCATTTTTCTCCTTAATCTTCATTCCAAACTCTTTACAAGCATCATTAAGTGGGTCTACTACTTTCTAAAAGTTTGCATCTGTGTCAGTTAGTAAGACAGTGTAATCTGCATACCTTATATTAGAAATTTGTTCTCCAATAATTTTTTACCACTTTGATATTCGCCAAGAAGCTCCTCTAAATATGCACTCAAGCGACTATATAAAATACTCGAAAATATTTTGTATGCTGTATTAAGGAGGGTTATTCCGCTATAGTTTCTACATTCCAATTGATTACCCTTTTTGTGTAGCGGGCAAACAATCCCAATACACCACTCTTCCGGGATTTGTTCCTCATTCCAGGCTCTCAGTATGATTTTATATATATATGTTTAGTCAGAGTAGCACCTCTACATTTAATAAGTGCTGCGGGTATACCATCACTTCCTGGAGATTTTGGAGCTTGCTTCTTTATATTTTAGCATTGAAGTCACCTAAGACGATGTTAATATCTTCTTTTTTATTCCATTCCTATAGTATGGTTTCTGGTTTATCTGTTCTGCATTGCTCTGTCTGAAAGTGGTGTAAAATTTGAAACTTAATGACTTAATTCATCGTTTATTTTTGTTCCGACTCCATTGAAATGATTGGTATCATTGTTTCCTGAGTAGTAAAATATTTTGTTCATAATATTTGTTGTTTCTGATTTAGGCCATCGTACCCCACTCAAACATAGAATGTCTATATTTAGTCTGTTCATTTCTTCGCTCACATTTGCTAGCTGTCCAGCTTCACACAGGCTCTTGATGTTCCAAGCCGCTATCTTGTCTTCATTGTTTGCTTTAATTTTGTTTTTGCTTTTTCTTATGCTCCTCTTAGGGATTATTAGCACTCCCTGAACATTTAAGAAGAAGATGAAGATGAAGAAGAACATGAATAGAAGAGGTTATCAAACATTATAGGATATTATAAACGGCTGAAAATGAAATTACGGAAGACTGGATGGTCGATCGAATGAGCTATGATGATTTGTTTAGGCTTTCACATCTTCATGCCTGTTCCCTTTTTATTACGGGAATCAAAGGTTTGAGGCGCGAGTGGACGTTTTATAGAGTAATGGTGTGAAGGTGTTACGTAGAAGTAAACTATGAGAATATGTCGGTTTGTCATTACTTGCACTGCTCAGAGAAAGGTCCTCAAGTTTACACCAGGTACACAAGTCATTGAAAATGGTTCTTGATTTAGCTTTTTTAGGTATGCAGTACTTATTTTTTTTATGTAGACATAACTCTGCTTGTTTTTTTACTCTATTTGTTGTCATGCATTCTACACCCAGTCCTTGATGTTCTCCACCTTGCATCTACGTCGTATATCTGTACTTCTAGCTCTGTCTCATACTGTCTTACCATCAATTTTTTTTTGGAGTACTTGCGTTTGGAGGGAGCAAGCCGTCTTAAGAACCCTTTTGTTCCGATGTTAGAACCTTCGATGGTTCTCAGGATGTATCGTTTGCAGAGACACTGCATCCGAATCTGTATTGTTGGGATTATGGTTAATTGGAGAATTCCTTTGTTTGTTTAGCGATGCAAAGATGAGCGCTATGTACTCGAGAATAGATCTAATGTAAGTTTTGTAGGTCTGAAGAAAAGTCCAGTGGTGAGTATTCCTAAATTTACCTCTTAGTGCTCCTAGGAGATTCGCCTTTTTTTGTCGACGAAGAGAAGACGATGAATTGCATAAGGAAACATTATTATTATAATAAGATAAAAGACAAAAAGCATAGTCGTTCTTCCGGTAGGGATCCGTGGAGAAGTATATCCCACCCTCAAGCGCTCATCTCTTGCTGTACTGCTTATCCATAGTTCAATCCTATATATCAACGTATTCCAGTCTAAGTAGCAGATTCATTTAGAATTTTAAACAACTGGCCAGCCTTTTTGTTTTCTGGTTAGCGCTTGAACCAACGTCCACTAGATAATTCACGGTAAAGTGAATGCAATTTGAATATATCTTTAAAAATAAAAAATCCTCCGATACTTAAAAAAAGCTTTTATTCAATGTTTACTCCTGGTTCAAAATTTAGTTTAATATTTTTCTATTTTTTCATTTTATTATGTAACAGTTTATGTTATTTTATCCTTAATAAGTCTCAGTTGTTTTAATCCCACCAATACATAATTTTACTGTCTATTTTTTTAATACAACACTGTGAACTTAATTTGACTATTATCGACTATAATGTACCACTTACAATTTTTGTAGGTGCAGCTATCAATAATAATAAATAGCGTCGATAAAGTGTGGGAATGGCTATTTTACAAGAAATTTTTCCTTTTTCTTTGCAGATACGTCCCTGAGGGCAACATGACTGCCTGCGGTACCGATTACTTGAACCAAGATCCGCTAAGCAAGAGCTATCTCTACGTTTACGGAGTTTTCGTTTATTTCTTTCCACTCTTCATCATCATCTACTCATATTTCTTCATCGTACAGGTAAAGTATAGAGATCCGACTTTTTGATTTTATGCCGTATTAGGTATATTGATAGGTACTTATTCAGGAAGTGGTAGATGATGTGTAACGTGTAAAAATTAAAATGTAAAAACTATACGTATTCATTCGTGATCATGGTCTTGATAATTATAATTTATTGCTCGTTAAATTTACAGTTAATAAAAAATTATTAGAATATTAAATACATTGAATTAAAATGCTTTTAGAACATTGTTAAATCTTATATACTAAAACGCTAAGCCCTTTTCTTGTCCACCACTTTACTCAAAAACTATATTAGATAATTAAAATATTTTTTCGGAATATTATTAGTATTACGTATGAGATTGTCAAGATATACTTTTGGTACAAAAATTCACTTCCGGTTTTGAGATGACCGGAAGTTAAAATTTACTTTAAGTTTTAGACCACACAATGTATATATGGAACGAAAGGTCTCGTCGAGACGAATTTAAATATGTACTTCCTGTTGCGATCCGACACCGGAAGTGACCCAAAACGCGCATAAAACGTCAAGCTAGAGCAAATCTGACACCGGATTCGTGATCAGCATGCAAAATTAACTGCTAAATGATATCCATGTCGACATTTGATGAGCTAAAAATTGCATTCCGGTTTTGAGGTCGACTTCCGGTTTCGTTTTTATTAAAAAGTAAAAGTTTACATAACTCCCGTTGCCAAGCAAAAGTTTTCAGAAAATGGAGACTTTGAACCAAAAAACATTGTTTTCGACGAAATATTTCGTGATATTTAATACACTTTTTACTTGCATTATTATTGATGAATGTTATGTATATTCTTGCTTATATGGTTTGTATTGATCTCTTAATTTTTCTCGCAAAATAAAAATTTCATTTAAAACGGCGATAAATCTACATCGATATGTCCATTCATGATATTCTGAAGTTAATAAGGTAAAGAGAATCTGAAAAAGACATCAGACAAGACATCATAGACAAGATCTATTAACTTTGAGATATCCAATGTTAAACATAGGAAGTAAATAATAAGAGATTACAGTTATATTAAATATCATACATATCTTATACACATACACTGCACTATATTCATTTTATTAAAATACGATTCTTCACTAGCTCTCAATCAATGTTCAGCCACTACAGTTGCATCTGGCTTATTCAACTTAACTACCAATCTTTCCAGTTTTAAAATTGTATTCCTTATTGATTGAGCATTTAAGTAAAGTATACTAAACTCAACAACGACGGATGCAACAGAAGATGAAGTAGTAACTTTGATAAATTAGATACTAACACCTACGAGATAAATCAACAATGGGAAACAATAAAACATTACTCGGCAGATCTTCAGAAGAAATATGACCTATTCAACCTTAATAAAAAGGGTAAATAAATGGCAGAGCTGCAAAAAAGAAACCACAACACAACTCTTTTAGATAAAAACAGAAATACTGTAAAAACAACTGACGAAAAGCTAAAACGATGGAAAGAATATATGAAAGAGCTCTTCGATGATGAAAGAGGAAACCTACAAGACACACCTTTCGAGGACAGAGAAACAAGTATAGAAATCACAAAGCAAAAAATATTGTATGCATTAAAGGAAAACACCAGAAACGCAAAAAGCCCGGGCCAGATCAACTGCCTATTGATATCCTTAAAATAATAGAAAATGAGTACATGATTGTCCTCCTAAAGATCTTTAATAAAATTTATCAGTCGGGTAACATACCCAATGAATGATTGACTTCAACATTTATTTGTCTTCCAAAAAAGAAAAATATTAGAGAATGCACCGACCACCACACCATAAGCCTGATGCCTCACACACTTAAAATGTTATTAAAGATAATTAAAGATAAACGCATTTACCAAATACTTGATATTGATATTGAAGAAACCCAATTTGGATTCCGTAGAGTTGTAGGTACCCGTTAAGCTCTCTTTGCATTCAACGTATTAATCCAGATGCGCTTGGATGTGAACCAAGATATGTACGTCTGTTTCATAGATTACAAGGCTTTCGATATAGTCCGCCGCAAAGAGCTTATGGACGTCCTCTAAGCAAAACAATTACAATACAATTACCTTTGAATTTTAACAAATATATATTATAAACAGCAGGCACACAAACATCAAAAGAGTTCGAAATTAAAAGAGGAGTACGACAGGGGTGTGTATTGTCACCACCACTATTCAATGCATCTTCTTCTTCTTCTTCAGCCTTAAGTAATCCAACTTTGGACATAGGCCTCCGCCAAATCAATCCAGTGTCTTCTATTTTACGCCACTTGCTTCCAGTTGTGTCTTCCGATCTTCTGTATATCATCCGCCTATCTCATTTGTGGTCTTTCTCTACTTCTCTTGCCTAACCATGGTCTTCATTATTGTATTTCGTGGTTCGATCTCTTATCCTTCAGTCGGGCATTGTGTCCTGAGAACCTCCATTTTAATTTGGCAGCATGTTCTCCTGCGTCTTTTACTTTCGTTTTGCTCTATTCAATGCATACTCTAAAGAAATTATGAAAAGAGCTGTTGAGGGAGAAATAGCAAGAATAAAGATAAATGGAACACCATTAGATATGTGGGCGATACTATTATAATAGCAGACAAACTGCAAGACCCGCAAAAGCTAATGAACAAGATAGTTGAGTATGGAACAGAATATGAATTATCAATAAACATCAAGAAAACTAAATTTATGAGGATATCAAAAACTCAAAATAATGATGAAAGCCTGACAATTAATAATAAAACTTTAGAACAAGTTGAAAACTACAATTAACTTGGCACAATAATTAATCACACAAACGATTACTCCAAAGAAATCAAAGTTCGAATAGAGAAAGCACGAACAAACTTCAATAAAATGAGAAAGCTACTTTGTGCAAGAGAACTGAAATTAAGACTTAAGAGTTAGGCTGGCAAGGTGTTATATTTTCTGGACTCTGCTTTACGTAATAAAAGCATAACACTTAACTTAACGCGTAGATTACTAAAAAGTTGGAAGCATTTGAACTATGGGTGTATAGAAGAATCCTAAAGATATCATGGACCGAGCAAGTAACAAACAACGAAGTCATGAGAAGAGTCAACAAAAGAATGGAATGTTGGAAACCATCATGACACGAAAGCTGCAATACCTGGGGCGCTTTCAAATAGGCGATCTGCCTGTTTTTGAAAATCAGTTTTCGACGATAAAGGTATACCCTTAGATAAACGATTTTGCGAATAGTACCGGTGCACGATATACCATTTTATCGCATATTCGACAGTAGGTTAACACTGATAAACAAGTTATCTACAAAGAGTTTATATGAAAAATTCCCTTTATTTGTTGGTAACTCATGCAACAAGTTTAGCAGTCGAGAAGTAGCTTTTTCATATAAATTTTCGTCTCTTTCGCTGGATTTTGTGTTCTTTCCGTGATATATCAAAATGTCAAATATCAAAATGTATTAGATAACCGTCTTTTGTGTTTAGCGACCACATTTTAAATCCAAATCTGATTGGCTTTCCCTTATGAACTGTTTACAAGAATGCTTCCCATAGTATCTAACCATAGATTCGTCATAACATATTTCTTCTTCTATAAACTTGTTTTGTAAATAGTCCATAAGAGGACGGATTTTCCATGCTTTATCATTTGATTTTATGCTGGTCTATTCTAAACCATGTCTAGTTTAGAATCCTAGTAATATTTTTGAAAAGAGCATATTTTTTAGTTTCTAACTATAAGTATTGGAATAATGAGTCATTCCAAAATAACTCATAACAATTTAACAGGTGTTAAATTTTTATATTCAGAAAAAATTTGTTCTGGAAAAGTATCCAGACGATTTTAAAAATCACCTCGTTTTAACCTAGAATATGTACATTTTGATGACGCATCTCTAGGTGCGTCGGCTTCAGTGACGCTAATTCTCTCATTATTTGTTTTACCTCGGCTTGGGCACGAAGTTGTCTCTTCTTCTAGGGTAAAACCACAGTATAAAGAGGTTCCTCTTTATACTGTGGGTAAAACCGCGCCTAAAAAGAAAAAAAAACCGTAAATGCTAAGAAATACACTCCCATATATGCGTTTATGTATTACATAATAATATAAAATACCTCGCATTTCACAGTTTCTTAAAATTCTCTGTTGGTAAATCCCCAGATGTTATCTAATAATCGCTATTCCTCAAATCGCCGAGAATATCGTAATATTAATTATATAAATACCTTTGGTGTCACAGCGACCGTGCAATTGATAAATTAAGATCTCTGTTATGATTTATAAATTACGATGAATAAATCACTGATAGTGAAATCACGTCCCATTACTAATGTGTTAATTTTTGCAAAAATACGGTAGTACTTTATCCTAGCGTTGCATATATGTAATACTGAACTTTGGCGCTACACCGAACTAAGTGGTATCGAAATATTTAAATAAAATTTGAAAGATTTACGTTATGTACCTTCATGTTTAATACTTTTTTACTAAAAAAAATCAATATAAAAAATAAATGTATTTACTCTAGATTGATGTCCATTTAATAATGTCCATTAAAAAAAAAAAAAAAAAAACCTTGGCTGTTGGATTAATTGCAAGCTGGACCCAGAACAAGAAATTAAAGCGAGAATTGCTCAAGCTAGGGATAGTTTCTTTAAGATGCGCGTTCTATTCTGCGATACACATATATTATAAATATTAAATTGAGATTAAAACTTGTAAAATGTTTTATCTGGTCTGTTCTTCTCTACGGAGTCGAAACGTGGACTTTAAAAATAAAGAGCCTGAATAGAATCGAGGCATTTGAAATGTGGGTGTACCGTAGAATTTTAAAAATTCCTTGGACAGCACGAAAAACAAATGAAGAAGTACTAGCTAGACTCAATTTAGAAAAAGAACTATTGAGAACAGTCAAAAGAAGAAAAACCAGTTATTTAGGGCATTTGTTGCGCAACGAGAAATACTACATCCCTCAGTTGATAATAAAAGGCAAAATAGAAGGA